GTGGCCACGCCGCAATCCCTTCTCCTCCATTCTCCTCTCGGGATCTTGGGCACGCACGCACACACGCCCGGTGTGAGTTTAAGCCACCAGGTCCTTGACTCGAACCGCGGTCGACTACGTGGGAGTCCAGCGACATAGCCATTACGCTAACAGCTGGTTCCCGGACTAGAGTTTCGAGCGAGAAGCTTGACATAAATGCGTGAGGCAGGACACCTGCTGAAGTGTGCTAAGCTGGAAGCCGCCTTCTCCCTGCACTTACGTGCTCTCCGCTGCAAGCCAGAGCTGTGTCTGCAGGCGTGCATGCGTGCACACGCGTGTGTTCCAGCGCCCCCTCCCCGGCTCCCGAGCTGCTGCTCCTGGTGTGTGCTGGCGCCTCCAGGTGCCTTTGTGGCCAGCCGCCCTCCCATCCTAGGGAAAGTTCCAGGCCTGTCCAGCGTTCGCTTTCTCCAGTGGGTCATTTTCTCTTATTTTTCCAACTTTGTGAAGGTTTTTATGACATCTGCCTGGAGCCTTTTCTTTCTGTCCTTGCTAATACATATACGCCTTAAAGGCCCCAGGTTAGAGGTGACTTACCTCCAGGAAGTTCCTAAGTCCCCAGTCTGGTACTGTGGCACCCGCGGGACCCTGCTGTCACCCGGTGGCCCTCACCGTAACTGCTGTTCCAGGCGTTCAGTCTCCACTATGGTTTGCGTGGCTGACCACACAGCGTTCAGACAGCAGTCTACTCTCCCTGTCATGTGGCTCTTGCTCTTCCATGAGCCGACACTTTGAGAGCTCTTTTAAATTGATCTCTAGGGGCCAGCAGTTAGCATAATGGCTATGTCACTGGACTCCCATGTAGTCGACTGGTTCGAGTCCCAGACCTGGTGGCTTAAATTCACACCGGGCGCGTGTGCGTGCGTGCCCAAGATCCCGAGAGGAGAATGGAGGAGAAGGGATTGTGGCATGGCCATCCCCCCTGGGGGGTGATTTCTCACTTTCTGTCTCTCTATGTCTCTCTTTCTGGTGAGCGCACGTGCCCTAGAGCAAAAACCTCTAAAAAAAAAGAAATTGATCTCTAGCAGCTACAAATGCAAAGTACTGTGAGTGAGTCACTTTGTACATGACGTGCAGTGGTGTGTTCTGACCTCTTGCCAGTGTGGACCTAACCGGGGAAGAGACGCCTGAGCCCCCCAGGCATGGAGGCGAGGCGGCGAGTCCGCAGCAGGAAGATGGCAGCATGTTCTCCTTCATCACCTGGAACATCGACGGGCTGGATCTGAACAACCTGCAGGAGAGGGCCCGAGGGGTGTGCTCCTACCTGGCTCTGTGAGTGCCGCCGCCGCCTCGGGAGGGGCCGGGTCTCCCGTGCACGGAGCAGCCACTGAGGCCCGGGCTGCAGTCCGACCCGGGTGCAGGCGTGTCTGCAGGGCCTGGGCGGCTGCCTTCAAGGTGGCTTACGGGTAGGGTGTGGAGGGGCGCCAGTCATGTGAGGGCCTTCCGGTACTGCTTCCTGTTCTCGGTGTATGTCTTACCGAGATGAAGTGAAAACGACAAAGACGAGCCCTTTCTGCCCCGTTTTGGCTCTGCCCCGTAATGGCTCTGGTCAGATCGCTTCAGCTCTCAGAGCTCAGTTTTTAGTAACTGTCCCACGGGCGTCTAAAGAGAGGGCATGGAGAGGCCAGCAGGCAGCATGCTGGTTAAGGCTCTGGACTCCCGCGTGGCTGACTCCTTGGTCTGCATCCAGACCAGGTGGCTGGAAAAATCACACTGGTGTGTGTGCATTTGTGCCCAAAATCCCGAGAGGAGGAGGGAGAAGGGACTGCCGTGTGGCCGTCTCCCCTGGGGGTGATTTCGCACCTTCCCTCTCTCTGTCTCTCTCCAGTGAGCACACACACTCTATGGCAGGGAAAAGAAGTAGAGAAAGAGCAGCGGAAGCACTTCGGTGCGGAGCCCTGGGCTCGCCTCCAGTCTGTCAGTCCTGGTTCTGGTGAAGTCCACCCGCGTGCCGTGTTCGGTAGTACAGCTCGCTCTCGGTTACTGAGCACTGTGCAGGCTGAGCACTAGGACGCTGGGGGTAAGGGGCTTGCACCTCTTTCCTGTAGGGAGACGGGAATGGAATGGTGTCCCTGGTGTTCGTCATAAATCGATGTTTTAACTAGGTACAGCCCAGACGTGGTATTTCTACAGGAAGTCATTCCGCCGTATTATAGCTACCTAAAGAAGAGAGCAAATAGTTACGAGATTATCACAGGTAACGACTTTTCTGTTATTTCTATGGTTTCTTTTTTTTAAAAAAGGAAAAAGATAAAGCCCATTGTAGCATCGAGAAGAAAAAGCACAAATAAGTGTGAGAAAAAGAAGCGAGACACCGCATCCTAAGAGAAATGTAGGAGAATGTTTTATCGCTTAATGTTAGTGTGAGAAAGCGTTTGAAATGGGTGACTTTTCAGAAATTTTTTTTTTTTTAGAGGTTTTTGATAGGGCGCGTGTTTCTAGCGTCTTTCTCGCTAGACAGAGAAAGATGGAGAAGAGACAGAGAGACAGAAAGCGAGAAATCATCCCCCAGGGGGGATGGCCACGCCGCAATCCCTTCTCCTCCATTCTCCTCTCGGGATCTTGGGCACGCACATACATGCGCCCAGCGTGAGTTTTAAGCCACCGAGTCCGGGACATGAACTGCGGTCGACTACGTGGGAGGTCAGCGACATAGCCATCACGCTAAGTGCTGGTGCCAGACTTTTTAGGAAATTTTAATGTTAGAAACACTGACTAGGTTTGTGGTGAAATTCAGTTTTATGAGCGGGCCAGCAGATGGCACAGTGGTTATGCCACTGGACTCCCACGTGGCCAACCGCAGTTTCAGTCCCAGACCCAGTAGCTTAAAACTCGTGTCGGGCCCGTGTGTGTACTTGCGGAGAATGGAAGAGAAGGTATCACAGTGTGGCCATTCCCCATGGGTGGTGATCTCTCACTTTCTCTCTCACTGTCTCTGTCTCTGTCTGGTGAGTGCATGTACCCTATGGCAAAAACCTCTATCAAAAACAAAAAATTGTGTATGACAGTCACATTGTAATTAGCTTTTTCAGAAGTTTTTTTTTTTTTTAATCTTTATTCCTTTTCATCTGTCCTGTTGGATTGTTTTAGCATTTTGCCCTGAATAATTTTCTTATTTCCTACCTATTTTTGCCAAATATATTTAAAGTACCAGTTTGCGGGACCAGCAGATGGTATAGTAGTTACATTGCTGGACTCCCACATTTGACTGTAGATCAAGTTCTAGACCCGGCAGCGTGAAACTCAGGTTGGGCATGTGTGGGTGTGTGCCCAAGATCCCAGGAGGAGGGTGGGGGTGAGGAGGTGGCAGCGCGATTTCTCGCTGTCTCTCTGGTGAGCACACGTGCCCTATAACAAACAGAGCTCTCTTTAAAAAGAAAAAGCCTTAGACCTACTTAAATACTGTTACTTATTGTTAGCGCCTTCAGTAGGGGAGCTTGTGATGAAGTGAAAGTGCCCTTGACTAAATTCTTCCTACAACACTTGAAGGTCACGGGGAAGGGTATTTCACGGCCATCATGGTGAAGAGATCGCGATCTAGCGTCTTTCTCGCTAGACAGAGAAAGATGGAGAAGAGAGAGAGACAGAAAGCGAGAAATCATCCCCCAGGGGGGATGGCCACGCCGCAATCCCTTCTCCTCCATTCTCCTCTCGGGATCTTGGGCACGCACATACATGCGCCCAGCGTGAGTTTTAAGCCACCGAGTCCGGGACATGAACTGCGGTCGACTACGTGGGAGGTCAGCGACATAGCCATCACGCTAAGTGCTGGTGCCAGACTTTTTAGGAAATTTTAATGTTAGAAACACTGACTAGGTTTGTGGTGAAATTCAGTTTTATGAGCGGGCCAGCAGATGGCACAGTGGTTATGCCACTGGACTCCCACGTGGCCAACCGCAGTTTCAGTCCCAGACCCAGTAGCTTAAAACTCGTGTCGGGCCCGTGTGTGTACTTGCGGAGAATGGAAGAGAAGGTATCACAGTGTGGCCATTCCCCATGGGTGGTGATCTCTCACTTTCTCTCTCACTGTCTCTGTCTCTGTCTGGTGAGTGCATGTACCCTATGGCAAAAACCTCTATCAAAAACAAAAAATTGTGTATGACAGTCACATTGTAATTAGCTTTTTCAGAAGTTTTTTTTTTTTAAATCTTTATTCCTTTTCATCTGTCCTGTTGGATTGTTTTAGCATTTTGCCCTGAATAATTTTCTTATTTCCTACCTATTTTTGCCAAATATATTTAAAGTACCAGTTTGCGGGACCAGCAGATGGTATAGTAGTTACATTGCTGGACTCCCACATTTGACTGTAGATCAAGTTCTAGACCCGGCAGCGTGAAACTCAGGTTGGGCATGTGTGGGTGTGTGCCCAAGATCCCAGGAGGAGGGTGGGGGTGAGGAGGTGGCAGCGCGATTTCTCGCTGTCTCTCTGGTGAGCACACGTGCCCTATAACAAACAGAGCTCTCTTTAAAAAGAAAAAGCCTTAGACCTACTTAAATACTGTTACTTATTGTTAGCGCCTTCAGTAGGGGAGCTTGTGATGAAGTGAAAGTGCCCTTGACTAAATTCTTCCTACAACACTTGAAGGTCACGGGGAAGGGTATTTCACGGCCATCATGGTGAAGAGATCGCGAGTGAAGCTAAAGAGCCACGAGGTCGTTCCGTTCCCAACTACCAAAATGATGAGGAACCTTTTGTGTGCACATGTAAGTAATCCTTAAAAAGGCTTTTAAAAAATGAATAGTTTTTTTTTTTTTTTTAAGAGAGATTTGCTCTAGAGCTCATGTGCTTGCTGGAGAGACAGAGAGAGAGGAAAAGAGAGAAATCACCCCCAAGGGGATGGCCACACCACAGTCCCTTCTCCTCTATTCTCCTCTTGGGATTTTGGGCATGCACACACACCTGGTGTGACTTTCAAGCTGCTGGGTCAGGACTCGAAATGTGGTAGGACACGTGGGAGTCCAGTATGCCACCTTCCGGTCCCCTCAAAGTGAGTTTTTTTTTTTGGTTCCATAGCGTTCTCTTTAAAAAAGAAAAGGGCCAGCATTCAGTTTCCTCTGCCAGCTGTTCCCCCGGGCATGTATGCCGACGTCCCACTGTCTCCCACAGTGTTCTTAGTGTGCCCTGCAGTCTGAGGTCGCCAGGCTCCGCAAGGCGTAGAAAGGTGGGTCGCGACCACTCACTCCTGCAGCCTCTAAACTGCTAGCGGAGCCGTCTGCACCGCACCGACGTGCAGAAAAGGCACAGTGCCGCAGGAGAGGATGGCGACACTCCCAGAAGCTCAGAGCCAGGAGGGCTGACTTTGTGCCGATGGTTCAGTGAAGGCCTCATGGAGGAAGTGGTATTTGAGTCTGGCCCCAAAATCACACAGGATGAGCGCCTTTGCCGTGGGCAGCCCGTGGGCATTGCAAGCTGAATACAGGGGTGTGGCGGTGCAGGGAGCGCTCTCTCCAGGGCGAGGAGGGCTGCGGATTCAGGGTCTGAAAGAGCACAGGCGCCACCTCGCAGCGGAGGTGACATGGGGCTGATTGTGCTTCCCAAGCGGTCTGCAGGGCAGGGCTCGCACTTTGTTTCTCCTGACCGAGAGACGTGGGCAGTGCTGACGACACGGTTTCGGTTTGGTAAATCTGTAACGAGCGGTGGGGAAGTCCGCTGGGTCTGCTAGCCCAGCTCGGCCCCGGTGGCCAGCCGGCAGTTTGCAAGAGTAATGATTAACCTTGTTGCAGGTTGACCTGGCCGGGAACGAGCTATACCTTATGACCTCCCATTTGGAGAGCACCAGAGGGCACGCTAAGGAACGGATGAACCAGTTAAAGATTGTTCTGCAGAAAATGGAAGAGGCCCCGGCCTCAGCGACAGTCATATTTGCAGGGGACACAAACCTGAGGGACCAGGAAGTGAGTGATGGTCAGCCCCGTGTCCGCAGCCGGCCAGCCCTGTGCTGACCAGCTTAGGTTCCGTCCACCAGCGCTGTTGGACGAGGGCCATTAGGCGCTCCAAGTGTAGATGCGACCTGTGAAAGCAATTCAGCCAGTATTCTTACCCTGCGCCGTGTGCTAGGGGCCCGAGAGGTCCTTCCGTGGAACAGCACGACTCAGTCCACTGAGGGGACGCCAGAAACGGTCCAGGCAGTTTCGGGAGGGTGGGCTTACCTGCAGTGCCAGTCTGCAGGGCGAGAAGAATGGGAAGATCGACCTTGATAACTGTTCCCAGCTCTTCTGGGCCTTTCTCAGCCCCTTACCCCTTCTGAGACTACCCTACCCGGGCGTGAGAGTCTTACCCCTTCATTCAGTTCAGACAGAGTTTATTTTTTTAGGAATTCAGAAAATTAATACAGAATTACTGTACTTGCCAGCAGTCCTGCTTCGGGGTATGGAGGTGAGGGCGGGGAGCGGCACAGGTGTGTGTACCCGTCCACCGCGGCCCCGAGTGGTGGTTTCAGGTGAGACCCGGGAGGTCGTGGCCCTTGGGCGCTGTTCAGCGCTGCACTGCCCGTCCACCGCGGCCCCAAGTGGTGGTTTCAGGTGAGACCTGGGAGGCCGTGGCCCTTGGGCGCTGTTCAGCGCTGCACTCAGTGCATAGGCTGGTGCAGGCCGGCAGGCGCCTTCCCACCTGAGCTCATCCGGTAAAAGCTGCCTGTTAACAGTAGCAGGTGAGGCCCTGCGTGTGCAGCCTTTGATTGGCTCCGACACCCGAAGTTCAGACCTATTTATGGCAGCAGAGAAGGCAAATCCCAGGCCTCTCAGGCTCCTGGCCCACTGACTGTCAGCTACTGGGCATTCGTGCGTGAGTTCACAATGTCTGGTGTTCTGACCTGAAGTGTCATTTAGGTGTGCAGACGCCAAGCCACCTCTGTGATTCGGGGAGCAGCAACCACGTAATCTTTTCTCTTTTCAGGTCACCAAATGCGGCGGTTTGCCCAGCAACATTTTGGACGTCTGGGAGTTTCTGGGCAGACCCAAGCACTGCCAGTATACCTGGGACACCCAGGCCAACACCAACCTCGGCATCGCTGCCGCCTGCAAGCTGCGCTTCGACCGGGTCTTCTTCAGGGCCGCAGCCGAGGAGGGTCACATTGTTCCCCGCAGCCTGGACCTCCTGGGCTTGGAAAAACTGGACTGTGGGAGATTCCCCAGTGATCACTGGGGTCTTCTGTGCAGCTTAGATGTGATACTGTGACGTGCTTTTCAAAAATGAGTTTAAAATGGTCCAGGTTTTGCTCTGGGTTCTTGCAAATACATTTTCTACCTCTGGGAAGATCTGGTGTGCAGGAGTTAATACAATGGATCGTTGTACCCACCTGGTTCTCTGTCGACCCTCCAAGTTCAGAATGAGCAGCTCTTACCGCACCAAAGCTGCCTGCCTGTGTGCAGGATGGGGGGCCTTTAGGGAGCAGGCCGGCAGCCTGGGCCTGCTCAGAGCTGCTACCCAGGCAGGGACCGACAGGTCATCTCTGGGCTTGTCTTTGTATTGACTGTCCAGCGAGGCACCTGAGTAGTGACTGTTTAAGTCTTCACAAGGAAGAAAGAGGCTACTGGACCCTGGGCACTGCATCTTCGAATTGTACTTCACAAACCTGGATCATCTTCAAAGCTGTCTATCCTGCAGTTTAGGGGCAGCTGTTCTACATCAGACCTCTACATCCAGCTGACGGGAGCCGTAGGTGAGACGTTATGGTTTCTATCGTGGTTTCTGGAGGGCGTGTGTGCTCGCCTGGGTGGGGGGACCTCCCGGTGGGGCCTAGTCATGCCACCGTCCCTCCTCCACTTCTTCATCTCCTCGGGGTGTGGGGCGTGTGTGCCTGACTTCCAGACTGCAGGGCCGGGACTTGATCATGTGGGATCACACTGTAAACGCTAGTCACAGGGGCTGGCCCGGATTCGAGCCTTTCAGTCGTTTTGATTCACCTTTGTGTGCCCGTGAGCAGAGGCAAAGAGCTTGATAATGATTAGCGTCAGCTGTATAGCATGGGAGAGAAATGTGTAAAGGGAAATCGCCTGGTTTTGCTATTTGTAAAATGGAAATGTTTTATAGGAAGTGGACAGAGTATTTCTAAATGTGCTTTAAAGAAAAAGAATGTTTCCCCACGAGAAGTGTACTCGAAATAAAGAAGTGTACTTGTTCATGGCCTGGCTGTTTCTGGCCGTCATGGGACTCGATTTGTGCGGCTCCCTGCGCTGACCCTGCTGACCAGCCGTCGTCCTGGTGCGGAGCTGGCCGCCGGGCAGCTGGAGTGGGGCCTGCGCTGACCCTGCTGACCAGCCGTCGTCCCGGTGCGGAGCAGGCGCTGCGGGAGGCAGGGTGTTCACGCACTGTTGCCGCGATTTCCCATGTGTTCATAATTACTTCAGAACCAAACGTTAAAGGCTAGTGAGGGGCCCGGCCACACTGAGGAACGGTGTGGAACAGTGAGAAATTAGATTTCCCCTAAAAGGTCCGCGCTCAAAGGAAAAGCAAGACGCCCCTCTCCGCTGAGTGCCCGAGGAACCTCCAGTGTGGGCTGAGGTTAGCAAACGGCACAGCCCCTCACCGGGCGCCCGGGGCGTCTCACCACCTGTTCTAGCAACGGCCAACCCTGCGGCCTAGTGGTTAAGGCACCACATCCCACGTTGTTGACCGCGGTTCAAGCCCTGTCCCCGGGCTTGAGAAACAGGGTGGGCATGTGTGCGTGCCCAAATCCCGGCGGGAGGGAGCGCGAGGACAGGACTGCGGCATAACTGCCTTTCTCCCTCCCTGGCAGATTTTAGAAAGAGAAAGGCACAAGCTACACCCTGGAAGAGAGTGTGACAGATGGCAGTGGAGGGCGGGAGGCTGTGGTCACCTGCCAGCCAGGGCATCCCCACTGCAGCTCCACAGAGGCCAGACGAGGAGCGCCCCGGGGCCGGCCCTGGCGGATGGGCCGCAGTCGGCCTGGGTTCCGGCCGGCGCCCCCT